TTTTTTTTTTTTTCTTTCGGTACCGGGGATCGAACTTAGGACCTTGCACTTGCAAGGAAGGCGCTGGAACCACTGAGCTAAATCTCCAGCCCTTCAGGAAGTCTTTTGAGGTTTCATTTTCTGACTCCCTAACTGTAAAAAAAAAAAAATCATATTAAAATTTTTATCCTGCATAAAAGAAAAGTTCATGAACTATCCTGTATAAAACAAAGGTTCAGTGAATTCAAACTGTACATGTTAAGAAATTTAGCTCACAGCAGTTATAGTACAGTTTAAACATAAATGTGGAATTACATGGCTCTTTATTGTGATTGGCTATTATAAGTATACATTCTTCTTAGAGTAAGTAGAGCTATATAAGCTTATTTGTAGTTGACTGGTTCAATTTTATCAAATCATGCTGACACAAAAAAGTCTAAGTTTCATTTATGTTTAGAGCTGACATTTTTTGGGAAATCAGGACATTTTAAGTTTCTGACATAGGGAGTTAGATTATAGGTATATCCAAACGAGGCCTCCATTTTAAATTTTCTTTAATATTTCAAACCCCTTGCCTTGTACAACATCCAATCAAAAAACTTTACCTACATTATATCGTCTACAACGTTAAAATGATATTTAAATGTTGCAATATAAAAAATTATTCTCTGTATTGTAGTAAAATAGTTCCCTTTTTCCTAGAGTGATTGTTATTTGTGAGTCCAGGTTAACAGGGAAACAAGCATGATGAAAATATAAATATTAGATAGATCTTTAGTTTAAGTGATAAAGATAAGGGATTTTCTTTATTTTTTTTGGTACTGGGGATGAAACTTGGGACCTTGTGCGTGCAAGGCAGGCACCTGAACCACTGAGCTAAACCCCTGGCCCAGGACTTTCTAAAGAATGCTACTTGGTGTGTGTGTGTGTGTGTGTGTGTGCGTGTGCGTGTTTGTGAGTGCACGCAGTGTTTGCATTCTATTATCTAATTAATATATTTAAGGAAAATATTTGTGAAGGAGATTCATTCTTTCAATTAATTTACCAAGTTCCCACAATGTGCTGGGCACTAGTATAAGTTGCAGAGTAACTGATGATCCTTAAACTGAGAAATGACACCAATTTGTTCTCACAAACCCCTTTAGTTCAGCTTTTCTTAGAAAGTGACAGCCTACTCATTTTGCCTGTTTTTTAAATTTTGTGACTCCTTCTCTCTTTTGGCTGCTTGATGAAAAATTTGTATGTGTTATTAAATCCTAGAACATGCTGTTTCCTTCTTTTTTGTGTTGCTGGGGATCAAATCCAGGGATTCACACATGCTAAGCAAGTGTTCTACCACTGAGCTACATCTCCAGCCCCATGTGTTGTTTCTTTTCATTCTTTTTGGGTATTATTGTGTAAATTATGCCTAATAAATAACACTTGGGACAGAAACCTGCTGAGTGCTTTTTGAAGAGGTGCCACATATGAAGAAATTCTAGAAAGCGCAAACAACCAGGTGAAAGTTACTATAGAAATAAACTGGTTTCCTAGAACCAAAGGATATAAGTCCCCTCCCTGAGGACCCATTGAGGGGCCATCACATTAAGCAAGAAAAAGGCTGGCAACATAGCACATGTACTGGGGGGAAAATGGAGAAGACCCTAAGAACTTTCAGAGAAAACAAACAAACAACACACAAAAGATCAAGAATCAAAATTACATCACATATGAGACCAACACTAGAAGCTAGAAGATAGTAATGCAATATCTTAAAATTCCTCAAGCAAAAGGATTGCTAATTAGACTTCTATACCAAGTCATACTATCAATTAAGCATACAGCTGGCCTAAAGAAAATTCCAGATGTATGAGAGCTCAAAAACTTTGCATTCTTCCTTAAGAGGCTACTACCAAAAGGAAAGAATAATAAAAAATAAATGTTCATTGAAAAACAAGGGAAAAAGCAAAAACAAGGCAAAGAGTTCAGGTACTAAGAGATCCATAGGAGGAAGGTGAAAGGAATTCCCCAATTGATAATGAGGGCCAGGTCATGATGAGAGCAAATAACAGGCCAAGAAAACAAATGGCAGGGATTGGGACAAAAAGATAGGGGTTCTGAGTGGGATAAAAGTTGGAAACTTTTCTGATGAGTGCAGACATTTTAAGAGAAAGGATATTCATTCACAATAAATATTTATTGAGTACCTGTTTGAGCCACACATGTGAAGCTACTTTCACAGACTCTTCATTTTGACAGAGGAAGATAATAAATTGTGTAATGTATTAGAAGGCAATAAAGGGGAAGAAAAAAAGAAAAAGTAAATTAAGGGAAAGAGGATTGAAATTGTTCTAGGTGTGCAAAGAGTAAAAAGTACGTATTACAATTTTCAATAGGGTAGTCAGTGTAGATGTGTAGACCTCATTGTGACATCTCAGCCAAGACATAAAGGAACTCTGGGAATTAGGCATGTGGCTCTGTGGCAGAAGATTTTCCAGGTGGAGAGAACTGCCAGTGAGGGTAGAGAATGTGAGAGATGGCGAGGAGAAGCAGTAGGTAGTGAGGTCAGAGAGGTACAGGGTGGGTGGATATGTTAGATCTGGCAGGGCCCCATAGAGTAACTCACTGTTACTCTAAAAAGAATTGAGTCATTGTTGGGAGGAAATCACTGGGTTACATTTTAAACGGATCACTTGCTGTCATTTGAGAATAAACTATAGGCAGACAATGGTAGAAAGGGGGGGATAATAAGGAGGCCATTGTCTTGCCTAGTAAAGAAGCAATTATTCCAATAATTCAGGCAAGAGATGTTGCTAGAAGAGAATATTGTGGTACAACTGTTGAAGAATTGGAGGAAGAATTTGTGATAAACACAGGAAAAGAACTAAGCAAAAAAGAAAAAAAAAAGTCAAGAGCCAATTATTAACCCAAGGAAAAGGTAACTATAGTAGTCTATGTTACTCTTTTGTGAATAACATTTACACAGTCATAGCCATGTAAACACAAAATGTTAATTTAACAAAGTATGATCATATGGCTATGTTGGAAAGTTATGTGACGAAAGTTTGGCTAATTTACCCAACAAAGAGTTCCCACCTATCACTTTTTAAAAATTCAATTCAATAGGAAAATGTACAAAGCATATAAATAATAGACAATTCAGAGAAAAAGACAAATGGGTCTTAAACATATAAAAAGAAACTAAACGTCCCTCAAAATGAAAAAAAAATTATTGATCAATTGATTGTTTTTTGAGCGGGAGCACACAAGGTCTTGCTATATAGTTGAGGCTGGGCTTGAAAACACTACATACCCCAGTCTGACCTTAAACTCACAGTGATCCTCCTGCCTCTGCATGCACCACCATGCCCAGAAAAAAAAATTGTAAAGGAAAATCAAACTAGACTGAGATGTCACATTTCACTAATCAGACTGGCAAATACACAGAAGTTTGATAACACATTATGTTGGGAGGGCAATGGGCAGACATTTTCATACACTGCTTGTAGAGTGTAAATTGGTATGCCAACTTGGTGAACTCTATTAAAATGAAAAAAATATAGATATTCTTTTCAGACAGGTCTTGTTGCCCCACTGCAGGCAATCTTCAAATGTCAGCCCGTCAGCTGCAAAGAGTGGCTTCACTGGACATGTTTTTCCAGGGCAGCCTACATCGTACGACTGATATAAAGGCCTTGCCACATTCACCCAGCACAGGACAACTCTGATGAGTCATTTCAGCTCCACACCTTCCCTGTGGGGTTCATGAGGCTGTACGGGTGCACTACAGGTCAACTTCAGCCTCTGCCTAATTCCTCTTCCTCTTCCTCCTTTCTACAGCCGTTGGACCCAAGGGAACTCTCTAAAAAACATACTGAACTCAACATTTCTATCACAAAATCTGCTTCCTAGAGAAAGCTATCTGTGACACCTTTGACCTCACAATTCCACTTCTAGGGGTTTACTCCACAGACTCACACAAAGGCAAAGTGATGTATCTTCAAGATTATTCACCATAGGTTATTTGTAGGAGCAAGAACTGGAAACCACCTAATTGTCTGATTTCATAAATCAGGTGACTGATTAAATAAAGGCATATATACACAATGGAATAGTAGGTACCAATATAAAAAATGAAAAAAGCTTTTTACATAGTTATATGAAAAGATATTCAAAGTGCGTATGTGTGAGTAGATTTGGGTGTCTCAGGGACAAAAGCGGAAGGGAAATGTTTATATCTTGTACTTTTTCAATTTTAAACCATGTGAATGTGTTACATAATGAATGTACTAAATAATGATGAACAAAATTTTTACTAGTTGAATTATTTAACTTTTAAAGTACATATAAAAGTACATATGCACAGCTTTCATAAAATAAACATAAATTAACCTGTCAAAAAGAAACAACTATGTTGGACAGAATTATTTCCAACTAAAAAGACCTCTGGGGCCGGGGATTTAGCTCAGTGGTTTCACCACCCGCTGCTCAAACGCAAGGACCCGAGTTCGATCCCTAGTACCAAAAAAAAAAAAGACCTATGTATACATATACATAAAGTTTAAACTGTTTTTATAAAGAAAAACAATTAAGGGTTAAGGGTTCCCCAGTTTCTCTCTTGTACTTCATTTTAAAATGGGCAAGGATGTTCATTAACCTTTTGTTTTTACCTATTTTATTTCCACTTTCACAGTCAGCTGCTTCTTACCTTTTGTAATTTTAGTTGATTAAACACTGCCAATAAGAAGAAAAGCAGGCTGCTCGTGGGCGCGGGCGCGTGCTTCCGGGAGGGGGTGGGTGGGGTGCTTGCGGGAGGGGGCGGGTGGGAAGGGCCGCTGGCTAGATCCCTAGGCGAGGCTCGCGTGCCGCCCCTGACCCGGCCCCAGCGCCCACCAAGTTGGCCCGGCCCAGCCATGATCAAGGCGATCCTCATTTTCAACAACCACGGCAAGCCGTGGCTCTCCAAGTTCTACCAGCCCTACAGTGAAGATACACAACAACAAATCATCAGGGAGACTTTCCATTTGGTATCTAAGAGAGATGAAAATGTTTGTAATTTCCTAGAAGGAGGATTATTAATTGGAGGATCTGACAACAAACTGATTTATAGACATTATGCAACACTATATTTTGTCTTCTGTGTGGGTTCTTCAGAAAGTGAACTTGGCATTTTAGATTTAATTCAAGTGTTTGTGGAAACATTAGACAAATGTTTTGAAAATGTCTGTGAACTGGATTTAATTTTCCATGTAGACAAGGTTCACAATATTCTTGCGGAAATGGTGATGGGAGGGATGGTATTGGAGACCAACATGAATGAAATTGTTACACAAATTGATGCACAAAATAAACTGGAGAAATCTGAGGCTGGCTTAGCAGGAGCTCCAGCCCATGCTGTATCAGCTGTAAAAAATATGAATCTTCCTGAGATACCAAGGAATATTAACATTGGTGACATCAGTATACAAGTGCCAAACCTGCCCTCTTTTAAGCAAAATATAAAACAGGCCACTCCCAGGTAAAATCCAGGGGGAAAAGTCATCTAAGTTTACCATACAGTTGCTTACCAAAAATAGAGGAGGAGAGTCTTAACTTTTGCTCTTGGATTTAAGTCAAGGTACTGTATAGAAGTTGTGTAAAATCAGTATGAAAGTTCAATTTTGCTTTTCTTGCTCAGTGATTTTAAAGAAATTGTATAGTTCCGGTGTGATTTTTTTTTTCTTTTCTAAACTGCATTCCTATGCCCACCTAAAGCATGCCTCTATGTATTGGCTATTACAGTATTTTGAAAGTGAGGTATTTCTTTAATTATGTACAACCCAAAATGTTGGTGTTTTGTATGGATCACAAGTGTATCAGTCGTTTCTTTTTTTGGTACCAGGGATCGAATTTGGGTCCTTGGGCTTTCGAGGCAGGCAGCGGAACCACTGAGCTAAATACCCGGCAAAAGGAGAGTAGGCCCAGCAATTTGTGGTTTGTTTTTTTTTGGTACTGGGGATTGAACTTGGGACCTTGTGCTTGCAAGTTAGGCAGCAGAACCACTGAGCTAAATCCCCAGCCCTATCAGTCCTTAATTCTTTCTGCTGTTTGTCACAATTGTTATTTAAAGAACCAAGTATGTATTGCATGAAAACATTATGACCTTTTCCTCTTAGTTTAAATAAATTCAAAGGTAACTGGATTTCTAAAGCACCTGTTTGCCTCCTACCTACTTTAACAATAATTGTTTTTACTACCCTCTGACTCAAAAAAGTAAATAAAGGTATATTTTATCACTGTTAAAAAAAGAAAGAAGAAAAGCAGCAGAATTTACAAATGGCAAAAACGTTGTATTGCTAGAGTAGCAGTGAATTATAATCCGCTGAAGAATATTTATACCAGATTTGGCCAATGAGAAGACCTTCAAGCTGGCTCCTTTTGACAAGGATGAGCACAGTCTTACTTTTGGCCACAATAAGATGTTCCAGGTCACCTTGTACCATTCTGCCCTAGCCCTGAAATCAGCCAGTTCTCCAAAAAGCTGTGGTTCCTTTTGGTGGTGACATGATTATAAACAAAAATCTGGATGGAGATTCTTTAATTTTGAAATAAGCTTCAATCATAAAATGAATATATTTAAATTTGTATAAACCATCATGTTTATAGCTGATTTAGCCCCCGTTTCTCTTTGTGGTAAAAAGAAAGAAGATATTTAAGCTTTAAAAATTATTTTTTCTTATTTAAGTGAATATAATTAATTCTGGCCACAATTATTAGGAAAGAACATTCACCGCAACAGCTAAGTTAGCTACTATAGTATAATATATTAGCTAGTTAGCTACTATAGTATAATATATTCTCAAAAGAAATTTATAGTCTGGGCTCTGCTGTAAAGAAGGATAAATTTGAATCATTTGTAGGAAGATGGATGCACCTTGAGACCATAATGTTTTGTGTTTTTTTTGGCATTGGGGAGCGAACTCAGGACCTTGCACTTGCGAGGCAGGCGCTGGAACCACTGAGCTAAATCCCCGGCCCTGAGACCATAATGTTAAGTGAAATAAATCAGACACACATGCTTAAATATCACATGGTTTCTCTTAGATGAGAAACCGAAAGTATAAATAAAGAGCAAAATAAAAGACAGATAATAGAAAACAAGGACATAGGTCTTTTGCAAGTGGGAAAGAACTAAGAGATGGAGGGAGGAGAGAAGTGAATGTAAAAAGAATTAAGATGCACATGTACCAACTCCCCATGAGGAATGCATTCATTATGTACTGCAAGCATGTGGTAATAAGAATAAAAATTTAAAAGAAAAAAAAAATTTGTGGGCGGGGGATGTAGCTCAGTGGTCTAGCACTCACCTAGTATGCACAAAGCTCTGGGTTCAATCTCTAGCACTGTGGGGAAAAAAAAGGAATTTGTGATGAAAGACTGCATAGGTTTTGAAGGAATATAATCTACAGAACCCTGAAGATAAATATAATAAAATATAGGATATTGCATTGAATTCATTTTTTTTTTTTTTTTTTTTGTGGTACCGGGGATCGAACTCGGGACCTTGTGCTTGCGAGGCAGGTGGCGGCACCACTGAGCTAAATCCCTGGCCCCAAATATTTCCCTCATCTTTTTTTTTTTTAATTCATTTCAAAGAAATAGAATCTTAGCTTTATGAAATTACATTTTTTTGAAGTCAGATATGAGTCACAAAAGAGATTTTTCTTTTTACAGGTGTAATGTGTTGGAGAATGCTGTGGTAACTCCTCACATCATTTTTATGTATGTGATAAAGGTAGATGAACTAGAAAATATTTGAAATAAGAATAACAATTTCTATCTTAACTGAATGAAATAAAATGCTGTCTCGATAACAGATGGTTTAACACAATACACCTTTGAAATACTGAATGTAAAATAAATAGAGATGATATTCTATGTGATGGAACTGGGGATAAAGACCTATTCCATTTCTTTGTCTCACACATGGTATTTAGTATTCATTCTCAATCCCATCATTGCATGGGAATCACCTGGGACTTTTATAATTCAGGTTCCTGAACACCATTCTGGTTCACTGAAACAGTGTACAGTATCATATGATTCAGGATTCAGTAATTTGTATTTTTAAAATATTCCCAGATAATTCTGAGGCATTTGATTATCAAACTGGTTTGGGAACTATTGGACTTGGCAAAAACATCTATCTATCTATCTATCTATCTATCTATCTATCTATCTATATTTTTTAAAGTTTCTTTCTTCTCTCTTTCCTTCCTTCCTTCTTTCTTTCTCTCTCTCTCCCTTTCTTTCTTTCCCTCTCTCTCTCTCTCTCTCTTTCTTTCTTTCTTCTTTCTTTCTCTTTTTGAGACAGGGTCACACTGTATAGTCCAGGCTGGCTTCAAACTCATGGCAAACCTCCTGCCTCAGCCTCCATACTGCTGGGATTACAGGTGTGTGCCATCACACCCAGAAAAAAGATACAGTATATTTTTACTTAAGTGGGAGTCTTATTAGAGGCAGTTGGTCCTCTATATCTGTGGGTTCTGAATCTGCAGATTCAACCAACCAAGTATTAAAAATATTGTGACTGCCCTCAACTTCTGCAGACTATTTTTCTTTCCATTATTCCCTAAACTAGTGAAGGTGATGATTGCCCACATGACCACCCAAAACCCACTTATTTATCACAAAGTACCAACACTGCAATTAAACTGGAATACTGAAGTTTTAGTTTAGAAACAATTCATACATTAACATCCTTTGTCCTACAAGAAAAACAAATAATATGCGTGCCATAGGTTGACCACCACTGCCTAAACAATACAGTACAGTAACTATTCACATAGCTTTTAGATTGTATTGAGTATTATAGAGATGATTTAACATATACCGGGGTATAGTCACATATCATATGCAAATGCTATGCTATTTAATATAAGGAACTTGAGTATCTGCAGATTTTGGTGCACAAGAGGTCCTGAGAGCATCCTCCCATGGATACTGAAGGAAGGCTGTATATAAGCTACCCAAGGGCCGGAACTGAGCTTATACATTTTTGCAAGTCCACCACTTTTTATGAGACTTGTGTACAGTAGGTATTCAATGTATGCTAGTGAAAAGAATTTTGACTTCAAATTTTACTGGTCATGAGAGGAGTTTGTATACATTAGTTTGTATACATTAGTTTGGATAGGGGACATAAACCCTGGTTAGTGATATTATACATTCACATGATAGAAAATCACCTTGCACAGAAATCTGAAAGACAATATTGGATTAATGGACTGATTTCTAGTATGGAATGTTGGGACGGGGATTTAGCTCAGTGATTCCACCACCTGGCTCGAAAACACAAGGACCCGAGTTTGATCCCCAGTACCAAAAACAAAAACAAACAAACTAGTATGGAATGTAGCTGTATTTGGTTATGTCTTGTGATTTTTTTTTTTTGGTACTAGGAATCGAACTCAGGACCTTGCACTTTCAAGGCAAGCAGCGGCACCACTGAGCTAAATCCCTGGCCCGGTGTTCGGTTATGATCCTGAATTCTGCTAGCTTTCTCTATGCTCTTGAAAAAAGAATATTCAGATTTATGAGATTGGTCTAGTCTATAGATTAGCTTTCCACCAAATGTTCTACTTGATATCACAATGACTAGACAAAAATTATAACAGCAAAGAAAAAAATTACAATAGCATCTAACATTTGTATGGCTTAAAAAAATAGTGGTTCGCGCCGGGGATTTAGCTCAGTGTTTCCGCTGCCTGCCTCAAAAGCGCAAGGTCCTGAGGTCAAAACAGTGGTTCTCAAAATGTGGTTAGAGGACTCCTGGGGTTCCTGAAAGCTTTTCCGGTGATCTATAGGGTCAAGACTGTTTTCTTTTTTTTTTGGTACTGGTGATCGAACTCAGGTCCTTGCGCTTGCGCAGCAGGCGGCGAAACCACTGAGCTAAATCCCTGGCCCCCAAGACTATTTTCTTAATAGTAAGCTTGTATTTACTTTTATCACTTCATTTTCTTCATGACTGTACAGTAGTTTGTAGAGACTATCTACTGTGTGAAACATTTAATTCAGAAAAGATAATCAGTTTCCTTCTATTAAGCCAGATATTGAAGAAATTTGCAAGAGTGTAAAACCGAGCCCTCCTCCTCTCTTTGTGGCCCTGGGGATTGAACCCAGGGACTTTGAAGTGAACTACAACCCCAACCCCTTTTTATTTTTTATTTTGAGAAGAGGTCTCACTAGGTCACTAAATTGCCCAGGCTGGGCTGGAATTTACAATCTTCCTGCCTCAGCCTCCCAGAGTGCTGGCTTTACAGGCATGTGCCTCTATCCTTGGTGCTACTCTTTTTTAAAAGTTATTTTTCATAAAAAATATAATGGGTTATTATTATTTTTAAATTACTAAGTAAACATTAGCAATTTTAAATTTTAATTTTCAATATGGTAAATACTGATAGAAACCTATAAAAGTTCTTTGGAGTCCTTAATAATTTTTAAGAGTGTGAAGTGGTCCTGAGACCAAAAGATTGAATAACTAGTGACTATATTTTTACATGTATTTAGTAATTAGCTCAATTGGTTATTTAGTTTTTAATTTGTTTGTTTGTTTTTTGAGCCAGGGTCTCACTATGTAGTTCAAGCTGGCCCTGAACTCCCTATGAATCCCAGGCTGTCCTTAAAGGAAATCCTTCTCCTTCAGCTTCCTGAGCGCTGGGGTTATAGGCTTGCGCCACCACACCCAGCTGGCTATTTAGTTTTATATAGACAATTTTGGCCTAAAATCAAGAATAAATTTTACCAATTCTTAAAAGTTGATTTTTGTTCAATATTTATATATTGATTTAACTTTCTTTTTTCCTCATTCTGAGAAAGTTAACTTAGTTACTACTTGAGGCTCCATGAGCCTCCAAAGTATTCTATAGTAATTTATGACACAACTTGAAATTCCCATCATCAGAGTTAGTGGAATGCTGTCAAGGATAACATGCTAAATTTCTATTAATATATAGAGAAAAAAAATTTTCATACCAGACTTCTCACTTCAGAGAGAGCAGAGTCTCAGAAAAGGTACATCTTGATAGCTACAAATCAGTAAAGATTCCTAACTTCGAAGCAGGTAGATTCAGAAGACAATAGATTGAAGCACACTGCTTTGGATCAGGAGTGCCAGGCTCCAGCATTTACTGCATTACATAGGGGACTTAGCCTATTTCCTCACCTGTAAAGGAACAATTTGTATCCATTCCACAAGCTGGTTGTAAACCAACATTGGATTGTATGTAAAGTGCTAGCAGAGTGCCATGAACATGATAAAACATCTGCTCTTCTTAGGTCTCTGGGAAGAATCATTTCAGAAGAAATGGAGAAAATATTTTGCTTACTTCACAATTTAACACCAGTGACAGTTGCTTTAAAATTTTATTTTTAGTGCAGAAGCTTTTTTTTTGCTTTTGCTTTTTTGGGTATCAGGGATCAAACTCGGGACCTTGCCCTTGCAAGGCAGGTGGCAGAACCACTGTGCTAAATCCCCAGCCCTTAAAGTTTTATTTTTAGAATGGTGTGTCACTGCTCCCCAGGCTGGCCTTGAACCCCTGGCCTCAAGAGATCTTCCTGCTTCAGCCTTCCCAGCCCAGGGCTGAGATTACAGGCACAAGCCACCAAGCCCAGCTCAAGTTTCTTTCTCTACAGCTGTTAAACAGAGTAACTGTTTAACTTTTATTTTAAAATTCTGTTATGACCATATTTTCATTTTATTTCTGTAGCAGGAGAATTCATCCTCATCCTCACTTCTCACAGAAACACTTTCCTGAGTGAAAAATGTTATTAGTAGCTTAAGGGGATAAATTTTGCAATAGTAAGGGAAGTGGTGAGAGGGTTTCTAAATCCAAAACTGCTTCAAAATTATGAAATGGGGCTTCCTCTTATATGAGAAACCCAAAATATAAATAAAGCACAAAGTCAAAGATAGATAATAGGAAACTGGGAGCTAAATCTTGCGCAAAAGGGAAGGCAACCAAGAGACAGAGGGGAGGGGAAAGGGATGAAAAAAAAGATGTGTATGTATATGTACCAACTCCCCACGTGGAATGTGATCATTATGTACTGCAAACACGTACGTAATAAAAAAATAAAATTTAAAAAATCCAACATGAGTTTTGGTCAAAAAAAGAAAAAGATTATGAAATGGAGAAATTTTACTAGAAGTTTAAACTGAAAGGCAGTTCGAAACAATTCCCCACCTTACTATGGTCCAGTTTTCTTTTCACTCACGGATTTTTGCTTAGTCAACACTAAAACTGATACCAAGCCGAGGGGGCCGAGCCCAACACACTACACCTCTGCGCCTACAGCCGCGGAAAAGCAGAAGAAGCGCCTGAGGGCTTCTGGGAAGCCTCGCGCTTTCCCGCCTAAAGAGGGACGGGGCGAGGCCGAGTTAGGGGCGTGGCTAGTTGCCCCACCCCTCCCCTCTTCTCCTAAGTCTCTCCGCCCCGTTCGTTTAGCTAAAATCCCGACAGGCCCAGCGACTAGGAGAGTCACGTGAGGGTGTGAGGTGGAGGGTGAGGCCGGCCTCTTGGCTCTTCGTCTCTATGGTTGTCAGAGGTGGGCGGCTTCTACCCAGGACCTGCTGAAACTCCAGCGTGAACGGGTGAGTCCAGAACTCTGAAGGGTGTAGTGGGAGAGCCATTTAGGGAAGGCGAAGAGGATTGCAGAACAGGTTTAGGGACCTGGCCTCCGGGCCAGTCTTTTGTCTGGTCCGGGGATTCGGGGACTTCTCGGTACCAGCGGGATAGCTGTCTGTCCCTGACACACTCAGCTCGGGGTGCTGAGAGGAGTCCGTAGTCCTGCCTGCTTCCCATTCCCGGCTTTCCTTTACCCCACCCGGTCCTCTGTCCCTGTCCCGGAGAACTTCTCCCAGTGCCGGGTTCCCAGTCGCAGAGTTCCCTGGGCCCCGACGTCCCTGTGCTCGCTGGCAATTAGGGGCATAGGCCCCTTGACTGTTCCCCGGGAATTTGTGGATGTGGTCGGAAGCGGGCGCGGGAGTTTACAATTGGATCTCCAGTAGAGAACTATAAATCACTGACTCAAAAAAGTGGAAAATCACTAGCACTTTGAAGGAGCAAAACGAAGTGTAGGTTTCTCGGATTGTTCAGTTTTTGTTTTCCAGCGCCTCTGGGTTCTCGTTCTCTCATCCCTTTGTGTGGGTGCGTGTCTGTCTCTCCACTTCTCAACCCTTCTTTCTCTGAAGTTTGCTTCTCACCGTCTCATACTGGACCTTACGATGTTTTGAGAATAAGCCAGGTATTATTGGCTTTATGTGAATATTGAAAGATTTTAAGACAGACTGGGCTTGCCATCTCTGTGATCTTAGAGTTTATAGATTTCTTTTTTAGTTACCCGAAAAATATTGTAAATATAAGTGGAATAAACATTTTATCGCGAAGAGATAAAAGTAAAATGTTTTATCTTCCCTGGCATACCTTGGAAAGACACATTTTCTCCCATTATTTTGTAAGTCCATGTTGTTATCACATCTTTAGGGTGGCTTCTTTGACATCTACGCCTTTGTTTACATTAAAACATCCTTTTGGGTCAAGTGTAGACTTGATCTGGTTATATTAGAAAGGAGTTGACAGATAAGGTGAAACAAGTTTGGGTTTGATAGTTTAGGAGAGTTTAGGTTTCATTGAACCATATGACAAATTAGTAAGATTTCAGCATCTTGAGACAAAAATGTTGACCAGGATGACTAACTTGGTGGATTTCTGGTGTAGATAAGGTAATACATTTGTTGAATATTGCCTTATCCTAAAAATTTTAGAATGTACTGCCACTTGCCCGGGAGCTAATCTTTTCCTCCTTGCTTGATAAGTCTCTGATTATCTCTTCTGCTTACAGGACATTACACTGGCCATCTGCTTATGTGAAGAAAGTGTCATTGATACCTGGATATCCTACTGAGGGTCACAAGATACAAAATAATATTAACAAAAAGCACAGATTCAGAAATAGCTTGTGTGCTAGGGATAAAAGGGAATGAGTGATAGGAACCAATAAAAGCAAGAGAACAGTGTTGTACTCTATAGAATATATAGGAATACACCAACAAAGATAGCCTTTATCACTCTCTTCCTATATGGTCTATAAAGAGTTTACTAAATTCAGTAAACTTTTTATGTGTTTTTTTTTTTCTGGTACCAGGGGTCGAACTCAGAACCTTGCACTTGCAAGGCAGGCAAGGTGCCACTGAGCTAAATCCCCAGCCCTAAATTCAGTAAACATTTTTTTTTTTTGGTACACCAGGATTGAATTTGGGTCTTTGTGCTTTCCAGGCAGGCGGTGGAACCACTGAGCTAAATCCCCTGCCGAAACTTTTTGTTTTTGAGACTAGGTCACACTGTGCTGTCCAGGCTGGCCTCGAACTCCTAGACTCAAGCAATTCCCCTGCTTAAGCTTCCAGATTAGCTGAGAATACAGGTGCCTGTCACTATGCCCCACTTTATTCAGTAGATCTTTTTATTCCTCCAAAGTGTGCATCTTGAGACTGATTTTTCTATATTTAAAAAACCAATGACATGGTAATTTCTCCCATAATTCAATTTTATGTAAAATAATTATAAATGAAATATTTAACTGACCAACGTCTTCAGAACTGGGGCTTGAACCCAGGGCCTCATTATTGCTTGGCAAGTGTTCTATACTGAGCAACATCCTCAGCCCTTTTTATTTTGAATCAGGGTCTCACTAAGTTGCCATCAGGCTGGCTTTGAAGTTGTAATCCTGCAACCTCAGCTTCCTTAGTAGCTGGGATTATAGGTGTGCACCACCATCCTGGGATAGGACTAATGTAATTGATAATTTTTTTTAAATACAATTTTTCCACTTTTAAACTTTAAAGTTAGTTTAACCTCTTGAGTGATTTTCTGATGGCTGCAGCACTTGGTAAACATTAACCGTTTTCCCCATATATAGAGTTTTAAACTATATTCTTTTTTTTTTTTTGGTACCAGGGATCGAACTCAGGGCCTTAGGTTTGTGAGTCAGGCTGTGGAACCACTGAGCTAAATCTCCAGTCCCTATATTCTTTTTTATACGTGAAATAGTTTTTTAAAAAAGATTTAACATTCACAACTTTTTCCCCCACTCAAAATAAAAATAACTATATTTTGTCCCAAAGGAAAAGGGTACTTCTTTCTTTTTTTTTGGTACTGGGGATTGAACTGGACCTTACACTTGCGAGGCAGGTGCCAGAACCACTGAGCTAAATCACCAGCCCAGTACTTCTTTTTAGATAGAACTTCTATTTGATTTGGTAAGTTATAAGAAAATTGGTAATACTTTTAGACATTAAATATTATAATCAGTATATTTGAGAAGAAAACACAGGGATAATATCTTTAAATGTTTTATAATTCCTATTATAAGACTAATATGTGCTTATTTAAAAAAAAAAAGGAAGCCAGGCATAGTGGCGCATGCCTGTAGTCCCAGAACTTGGGAGGCTGAGGCAGGAGGATTGTTGTGGGTTTGAGGCCAGTCTGCTACATAGTGAGATCTTGTCTCAAAAAAAGAAAAAAAAAGAAGGAACATTATAGAAATATAACATTGAAAGTCACATCCTAATTTATCTTTTCCTCTCCCAGCAGGGAATCACATTCCTTTTTCATATTTGGGAATCGGTGTGGAAAAGTAGTCTGTGGTATCAGATTTGCTGGGAAGGTTTGTAGCAAAAGCACCAGGCTTACATCCTTAACCTCAGAAGCCCCAGAAGAAAAACAACTTCCCTTTTTCTACAATTCTAGCAAACTCCAGTAAGGTAGTCTCATTGGCTTGAGCTGGGTCTTTGCCTATCCTAGAAGCAGTTCCAGTGGCCAGGATGATGGAATGCTTTGTGTAGCCAGGCTTGGATTTTGTTCTACTGTGGACTGGGGCAAAGAGGAACATGGTTTCAAACCATGTGATATAAGGGTGGGAGATACTTAGTTCCTCAAGGAAAAGTCAGGTGTTATTTCCTGGCAGGGTTGCCGGATAAACAAAAACAACATATGTTTACATGCATTTGTTTTTTTGTGTTTTTTTTGGTACCGGGGATCGAACTTGGGACCTCTCACTTGCCAGGCAGGTGCAGTGCCACTGAGCTATATCCCCGGCCCTGCATTGTATTTTTAATTCAGAGAACTTTTTTTTGTTATATAAATTAATTTATAGTTTCTGAGTTGATTTTTCATTTTTAAGTGTCTTACAGAACTTGAAATTTAAACTCTTTAGTGTCTGTATTTGTATTGTCATTGCATGTATAGTGCCTTTGTAGTTTAAGCTCTTATATTGCAAATACTTGTATTGTTTCTACATGTCTAGTACTGTACCTTTGCTCTGGAGTATTCAGGTTATTATGTATTTATGCAGCACTGGGGATTGAACCAGGGCCTTGCTCTGAGTACATTCCCGGCCCTTTATATTTTTTATTTCCAAATCGCCCAAGCTGGCTTTGAACTTGTAGTCCTCTGTCACAGCCTCTTCAATAGCTAGGATTACAGGGATGTGCCATGGTATCCAGCTGGTTTTGTTTTTTGTTGTTTTTTTTTTGCTGTGCTGATGATTACACACAGGGCCATGTATATGCTAGAAAGAACTCTAACCCTAAGCTACAACCCTCAGCCAAATAGTCCAGGTTTTATAACTAACTATATTGCATATCTGGCAGTTTGTTAAAATTGAACATTGGTTTTCTATTTTGTTTTGTCTTATTATCTTTTTTGGTGCTGATAATTGAACCCAGGGACTCATACATGCACTGTACCTCTGAACTATAACCCTAGCCCTATGATTATTGGCATTTTTACTACTGTGAGTGAACTTGACTAAGAAACTGTAGTTTTAACCATAAATAAAATGTTTTAAATATTTAAAATATGTAGTTGATATGATTAAATGCTTGATTCTTTTAATTATTTTATGCTTAATTAATTAATTAATTGTTTGGGTTTTTTGAGACAAGATCTCACTGTGTAGTTCAGGGTGGCCTTGAAATATATCCCAGGGTGGCCTCAAACTCATGGCAATCCTCCTGCCTCAATCTCCCAAGTGCTGGTATTATGGGAGTGTGCCACCACACTCGGCTTATTTTCTTTTTATATTATTATTATTATTATATGTATTGTTTTTTATTTTTTGAGACAGAGTCTCTCTATGTAGTTCAGGTGGCCTTGAACTCACTCTGTAGCCCAGGCTGGCCTCAAACTCAGGGCAATCCTCCTGCCTCAGCCTACCGAGTGGTGGGATTGCAGGCATGCACCACCATGCCTTTCAATTATTTTATGTTTAAAAGTCAGTATAGAAACCGCATCATCTTGAGCACTGTATGAAAAATAAATCACTATTAACTGTCACTAATGAATGTTTCTGGGTATTAACTTTAAAACTATAATTAACATTAATGTCTGGTTTTGTATCTTTATGTATTATTCTGATGGCTCATTATGTTTTAAGAGAAAATATAATTAAGGCAGCATACTGTTTATTCCACTATCTTTTTTTTTTTTTTTTTTTTTGCTACTGGGGAACGAACTCGGGTCCTTGCACTTGCAAGGCAGGCGGCAGAACCACTGAGCTAAATCCCCAGCCCTACTGCCATTTTTGATTGAAAGA